TTGAGGGACACAGATTGTTTGCACATTGTTTGAATGGGCTCTCTCCCATCAAACCATCAACACCTGACCAAAAGAATGCGACAGCCCAGCCCAGTAAACCACATGCATGTGTTCTGAAACTGATTTTTGTTTATGCAACAAAAACACCCTGCAATCAGACTGTATTAGCTGGAATTTGTTCCTCAGCTGGAGTTAAGTAAATATAATGAGTTTAGAAAAAAATTCAACAGCAGCATCATGAAAAATATGTTCAGTGGTCAACAGCACAGTATGCTGCACAGGCCATCCAGCTGTAACTAATGGCCAGATTTAAACACACCTCCCTTTTCACGCACTAAGCCCTGACGGGACAAAAGGATGGCCTGGCGAGCCGGCGCCTCTCACGAGTCTGGACTTAAAGCATTTTCACAGATGGGTGAGCAGACAGAATCATGCAACCGACTGCCATGCCCCCCCCCATGAAAGTCCTCACCCAGTAAACCGAGAGGTCAACTGTCACTCATCATCGACGTGTGTTCACAAACATCCACGCAAACTTGTTTCGACAGAGGAAATAATGAAAAGACTCATTCTTACAGACTCGAAAATGAAATTAAGCTTCAATGACACAACTGGAAACCTTTTTCAGTGATTCCAACGTTTTCTGAGCAATGTCTGCCGACATCTCTTTGATCTGGGTTAATTCTTCAGGAATGAAGAGGAGCTATTAGCAGCATGCTAATGGGAGGAAATTTTGGGATGCTGGCAGCTGTACAAATGATGGTTAAATGCAGCTGGCATTTGTTCTTCACCACCACCGCCGCCTTTTACCTCCATCAGCTGTTGGCAATTGTAGCTACATTCATAGACTGAAATGAAAACCAACATCCCAAAGGACAAATTGTATTATAGGGTCCCAGATCCCCCATATAGCACTGTCTGTTACACCATTTGCCTACTTCTAGGAGTTCATTTTTTTCCCTTCATTTGATTTTTATTTTCCAATGTTTCTGAAGATATAGAGAAAGAAACAGACTGACTGTCTAACATATGACTTTCAGTTTCAACCATTTGTTTGAAACTTGAGGGATAGTGTACCGATGGGGTCTGACGGTTGATGAGCACTTAACACTTAATGAAGAGTGCATTATATTCATAAATTACTGCCTTTATAGCTCAGTCATAAAAAGACAGGAGCAAAATTGCAAATTTCAGAATTTTCTGTACTTTGTGATTGCTGTTGAAAAAATCAGTTTCTCGAGTACAACTTCATCTTGTCTCAACAATGACAGCATGAAATTTAATAAAATAAAGTCCAATAATACAAAACATGTACATCCAGAAACCTTTCTCTGTCATTATATAGTGCTATTGTCATTTTACTGTAGCGCTATTTGGCCTCATGTGAAGAAAGTTAATAAATACTCACTAAAACACCATCCAGCGTTGTTTCCCTGTGTATTTCTGCTGTGTTCACTCCCAGGACCCCTGTGATGTGTGATGTGTAGTAGAGCCTGTCTCCTCTTTCAGTGCTCTCTGTGACTGAACTCTTTCTAGTCCCGTGGCCTTGGTGACAGCTGATTTTTATCAGTGCCTGTCCCAGTGGAAGACTTTGGCTATTTTGGGATGGTGGGCTGGCTGCTGCTACTCGCCTGAGTCAATCACCTCTGTTAGTCACTGTTGGATTGGGACACCCCTCATTTCCACAGATACATTGTCACCTGCTATAACAGGAACTGGGTGGGACCAATAGTATGTGTGTCAGTGGGTGCTCGGCAGCCAATATATTGAAAGAAAAAACACAGACAAGTGGTCCTATTTTGGTAAGTTCTACTTGGGTCCTGGCATTCATGAGGATGTCACTCACACGCCTAAACGGTGTTTTCGGCCAACATGCACCTTCAAGTGTCCCATTGGACAGACCAATGTACACCCCCCGCACTGCCAAACGTACTCATGAACAGCTCAAGGAACATGACACAGGTCCAAAGGAACTGATCTGGCCTCCAAACTGCCCTGATCTCAGTCCAGTCTTTTAAAATGCTAATTCTTACTCTCTTTTTCCACACTACCTACACTTTAAGTATCACTAGGACAAAATCTCACCCTAAATTCAACAGAATTAGATGGCGAACGCTGGGAAATTACACCATAAGCCATGGGCTGTATTATGAAACGCTACCAAATATTTCAGCTTTATTTTGGAACAAACACAGCTGACATTACTGGTTGTTCCTTACTTATACCAGGTTCATCATAGGGTAAGGACGTCAGTATTGCTGAAGCAATATCAGTAATGGGTCGCAGACAGGCATGGCTCAGAGGGCCAAGGCCTGCGTCACGGTCAGAACTGGTGGTGACACTCTCAGTTCTATCTTAAGCATGAGTGCCGGGCACATAGTTATGCATTTACAACACTACATCCTGGTCTTTATTTAGCTTCTTTTTCCTCTCACCACCAAACACCACATGGGTTGCCACTGCTTTGTAAACTCGGTCAGGATTTACATGGTGACACTTTAAATACTAGGCCTTGATCCTGAACTGTTTGCTCTGTGGCAACCTAATATAGATTCATTTGATATGCTTGAGAACTGCTGTTTGACATGAATGTGCCTACATTCATATTTCAAAGAACTGTCAGGAACATATATATTAAACAGCTTAAGAAGTGTCCACTCGACCTTACAAGACAATGAACCTCAAAGCTTCAAGGAAACTCTGGCACCCATCCCTTATCCCGTCCTAGATGTCAGTGATTGTAGTAAATATGAAATAAAGTACCACTGCTCACCAGGCAAGTGTCTGCGTGCTCTGTCATGAAACTCTGGAAGCCCATTCACAGCCCTTCTTCCACCCACTTGAGTGGCTTTCTGTGGATAAACAGCACATTATGTTGTCAAGAGAATTATAACAGACAATATATGATTGTTTTGTGTCTCATTTTGGTGGGTGTGGAGTCGGGCTGTCGAGACTTAAAATAGAGGGAGCTTAAAATCCATGATAGCTGGGTTAAGAGTTGGATGACACTCATGTCACTTTCAGTCAGGAAAGATATACAGGATTAGTAAGCTTCACTATTAACTGGTCCAGATTTTTTCTTCTTTTTTTTTTACACAAACAGACTAACTACCTGGTTCTGGATGTAAAGTGCAAACATATCAGGTCAGTGGTTCCTTTAAAAAGTATGAAAATACTAGCGTTTCACTGCTGCCTATACTGTATTTCATCAAATAAATTGCTAACTGTCAAACAGGCTACCAATTCCAAGCATAGGACTAATGTTTCAGCAAAATTCAATTTAATTCAATTCACTTTTATTTGTATAGCACCAAATCACAACAACAGTCACCTCAAGGTGCTTTAAGACCCTACAATAATACAGAGAAAACTCCAACATTAAGATGACCCCATGTGAGCAAGCACTTGGCGACAGTGGGAAGGAAAAACTCCCTTTTGACAGGAAGAAACCTTTAGCAGAACCAGGCTCACATCACGTGCTTGTGTCATTTGGATGACTAGCACTGTATTGTAACACTACTTGTAACTGCTCAAGTAGGCAGCTGACACACCTGTGTAGCTGTGTCCTTAAGAAGAGTGTTATGACTTCTCCTGTCCTGCAGAGGGTAGTCTCTCACTGTGACACTGTCAGTTTCAGACGCCATGTTCAGCCGAGGGCTGCTGCTGAAGCCCTGCTGCAGGGTAGCTTTGGACTCGAACAGGGCGCACAGAGCTTTGGTGCCCGTAGCCTCCTTCTGAGGAAGGAACTCCATGGAGCGACTCCTGGAAAGATTAGAGCGCCTTCCTGAGCCCCAGAGGACCACATTCTCTCTGCTGTCCCCTCTTCTCCATCCGCCATCCACCCAGCTTTCCGACAGCTAAAGAGAGTAGCTGATTTTTATGTGTTTTTCAGTTTTAGCAGTATTTCCATTTAACAAACACAAGTGTAGACACCTACCTCAAGATTCTGCTCTGCTCTATCAGGATTCCTTAAGTCAGAGCAGCTTTGGTAACTATTAGGACAAATTTAATACAAATATATATTAACAGATGAGTGAATGAAGACAATACACAGTCAGTAAACATTGCCAGCACCTGTGAATAATGTAAATAAACTGTAAATGTCACATGTTTGTGCCTCAGTAGAACTTACTGTTGCACCAATTGAGAGACAGACTTTCTCTTCCAGCCGGGGGAAACTGCATTGACCCACGACTTTTCCTGAATCCCAGAAAGACTCTTCAAGGACTGGGTCCTCCTCAGGCCAAAAACCTCCATTGTATTCTTTTAAACAACAGCTGCAATTTAAAGCAACAGCATTTTTTCACCAAGCTGCAAGCTTTTAAAACCAGGCTGTCATTTAAATCAGAATAGATCAAATCCACAAAATGTTTTCCTTTGACTCATCAATAAACTCTAAATCTGACGTTCTTAAATTCAAGTACATAACTGAGGTTTAACTTCTTTTGAGGTATTATACAACAGACACTGACACTGACAGTCATCTGACTCTGTTAATGTTTATGAATTCATGCACTCAAGCAGCAAACCCAGAGTCCTGGCTCGAGATGCCGTCTATAACAGTGTGATACATACACGACTGCTGTAGCTGAAAGGACATTTAATGCTTTCAAATAAGAAAGAAAGAAAGAATGACATCTTAATTCTGGACAGAGAATTCATATTCACATATATATATTCTGTCTGACTCACATATGAGATGCCGCTCCATCAGCTACAAAGCAGTTACAATAACGTTGCAATAATAATGATGCAAATAATGTTTTTTTTACCTAAAATAATCTAATAATTATTCAGCTCCAAACCTGAAAAGAAGAAGAAGTTGTCACCACTGCATTTCTGTCTTTCCGTCTTACTCGTGGTTTAGGAGCATCTCTCACAAGACACGGCAATTTCTGGTGGTCAAAGTCCTTAAACACCTTGTGATTCAAGTCTTCCGGATGTGATATCTGCCATGATAGAATCACCTGATGAATTTGTCTGATGGAGCAATAAAACTCTGATATTTATAAATGAGGAGACATGTACGCCGAGTAAAAAGTCACATTTCCAAAAATTCTGTTGGTCTTTATTACGCTAAACATATCACCAAAACACATTTTTAGTATCCATGTGTCTGTAAATTGTAATGCTTTCTATTTGATACTTTAAACACTAATGACCATGCTGACAGCTTGAGGCATTCAAAACAGTGAGAAGCCAGAGAGCCGACCTGCGTGACAGCTGGTCCAGTCAGATGTCCGTGCTGAAATGCCTGGCATAGCCGCTCTGTTACTGGATTCCAAACCAAAACCCAGAGCGGCAGCATTTTATCTGCACCTCTCACGCCTTACCCTAGACACTGTGTTAGCAGCAGCAAGGGCCACATTCACCCATCTACTGTTCCTCAGTGTGCTCAAACAGATAACATGTTTAGCTGATTCTGCTGATACCAGTACCAGAAACGCTGACGGTGCTCGTAAGTTAATGATGAACCCATTTCTGTTGATGATTACAGTCTGCCAGTACTCAAAGGGTGATATTATATTTCAAAATTGTTGGCACATACAATTTTATACCCTAATTATCCCAAAGGAATTTTATAGTTCGCAGAGGTTTACAGTTTTATGATGCCTACAACCTGCAAAGGACTCACAGAGTGGCTCTGTCACAATAGGAGAGAGCCGAGGCCTGCATTCACCTGCAACTGCTTTTCTGTGTTTACAAGTGAATGTGATGACATACATATCCACCAGCCAGTTTATTAGGTACATCTGTTCAGCTTCTAATTATTACAAATGTCTAATCAGCCAATCATATGGCATCTATTCATTGCTTTCAGGCCGGTAGACATGGTCCATATGAGGTGCTGAAGTTCGAACTGACCATCAGAACGGGCAAGAAAAGTGATTTAAATTACTTTGAACATGCCAGAGGGGCTGGTCTGAGTATTTTTTTAAAAACTGCTTTTGGTCTGAAATGGTCTGAAAAATAGAAAATATCCCATTAGTGCATTGTAGATGCTAGAGGTCAGAGGAACATGGATTGCTTTGCAGTGACAGGAAGCATTGGTAACTCAAATAACCACTGGTTAGAACCAAGAGATGCAGAAATGCTACTCTGAATGGACATTAAACTACGATGAAGCGGAAGGGCTACAGCAGCAGAAGACCACACTGGGTGACACTCCTGTCAGCTACAAACAGAAAACTGAGGTTACATTTTACACTGGCTCAAAATTGGCCAACAGAAGAAGAAAAATGGTTACCTTGTCTGCTGAGTCTCGATTTCTGCTGCAAAATTCAGATGGTAGCATCAGAATTTGGCATAAACAACATGAAAGCATGGATCCATCCTGCCTTTTATCAACAATACAGCATGGTGGGGATGGTGTTGGGATATTTGTTTAACACACTTTTGGCCACATAGTAACTGAGGATTGTTTAAATCTCACAGTCTCCCTGTGTTTATCTATTTATAACCACAATGTGCCCATCGTCTTATGGCTGCTTCCAGCAGGATAATGCACCATGTCACAAACCCTAAATAATCTCACACTGGTTTCTTACAGATGACCAGATCTGAATCCAACAGACCACCTTTGGGATTTGATGTAACCGAGATTCTCATCAGGGATGTGCACCTGACAAATCTGCAGGAACTGTTTGATCCTGTCATGTCCATATTGAATCAAAATCTCTGAGGAATGTTTACAGCACGTGCTACAAATGAAACCATGTTATAAAGAATTAAGACAGTTGTGAAAGCAAAGGGAGGTGCAACACAAGCTTCTCCATGAGCTGTGTTTTTTCACTTTTTATCTTGTTTAAAATGAGTTAAATAAATATTTACTTATCTTTTAGGACAAATTCACAGCAATAACTTTGTTGCTTGTAGTCGCACTTCTTGTTTGTAATAGTGATCAAGCTTTCTGTAGCCTGTATAAAAGAAAATGCACAGTTAGCTGACAGCTAGTGGAGCATTTGATAGAGGTAACACGTTACCGCAGGAGTTGTTTTCTAGCAAAAACAAAGCTATAAAGAAAGTACTCAAATTTATCAGTGGGTGGACAAATGATTAATAAATAAATAAACAAACCTAAATATTTTCCATATGAGTTAAATTTGTAAATTGGTAACTGCTGGCCAACAAACAGCAATCCCAAACTGAAAAGAGATGTTTGCTACTTATCTTTGCTGCCCCTATCTGGCCAAAAACAGGAACTGTGAGCTCATTTTGTAGACTTACTGACAGTTTATAAAATAGGAGGCATTTCACTTTTTATTCTATAAGATCTCACATTTTGCAACATATTTACCTTCATATGTATTTTGTTGTAGTTTCAGACAGTTTCAAAGTATTCATTATTAAAGGCTCTGAGACAACAACATCAATAAACAAGAAAAGAGCAACCTG